AGTCCGTAGAGTCGAGTGGTCCGTATGCGGAGCTTGTTGGCTGCCTCATGTACCTGATGACCTGCACACGACCTGACCTTGCATACCCTCTGAGCATTCTTGCACGCTATGTTGCTCCTGGGAGACACAGACCGGAGCACATGGCTGCAGCGAAGAGGGTATTGCGCTACCTGTGCAGTACGTCAGGCATGGGGCTAGTGCTTGGAGGGCGGAGTCCAGTGGTCCTTACCGGCCACGCGGACGCTTCTTGGGCTGACGACCAGGCTACGCAGCGGTCGTCACAGGGTTACACCTTCAGCCTTGGTTCCGGCTCTGTCTCGTGGCGGTCTACTCGCTCGTCTTCGGTTCTCGGCTCCAGTTGTGAGGCTGAGATCTACGCCGGGGCCATGGCTGCACAGGAGCTTCGCTGGCTCACCTACCTGCTGACTGACCTTGGAGAGCCGCCTCGTTCTCCTCCAGTGCTGTACGTAGACAACAAGGCTATGCTGGCCTTGTGTCGAGAGCAGCGCTTGGAGCACAGAACGAAGCACATTGCTCTCCGCTACTTCCTTGCTCGTGAGCTGCAGCAGCGTGGTCAGTTGCGACTTGCGTACGTGGCCTCTGAGGCCAACACTGCTGATGTGTTCACCAAGGCACTTGCGCCTTGTGACCATCAGCGCTTCTGCACCCAGCTGGGTCTTGTGCCTGTCTTGCCTCACTTGCTCTCCTCTTGACTTCACTTGTACTGTGACATATATATATACCTGCTCTTGCTTGTCTAGCTTTATATATATGTCTGTACTCTTGCTTGTGAACTGGCCTTTGGCCTTGCTCTTGTGCTCGGACTGTGTGGTGACTTTGTGATCCACCCTGAGCTTTGCTTTGTCTTGCTTGACTGGTCTTGTGACCCCTTGTTCTCCCCCACTTTGCCTATGGGGGTGTGTCAGAACATATCTATAGCTTATACTGCTGTGTAGGCTGTAGTGGGGTATCCCATAGGGGGTACAACCCAGTTAGGGTTTCATATTTGTACTACTTTCATTCATAGTTCATTCATTCCTGTTTTCCTATCTTCACACTTATATCCGCTCCTCGATTATAAGCGCATGCTTCAAGCCTTATGGATTATAAGCGCACCCCTACTACCTTACACATTATAAGCGCCACCATTAAAATTCTCCATTTTTTAGTTTTACGCTGTTACAATTTATATCCTACGTTTTCTTTTAATATCTGACTACATATTCGCATTTTCTACATTTTCTATCAGATTATCACGTCCTACACATTTCTACCGTGCTTTACCCACAACCTATGCATCCTCCTCGGCAGTGGCAGTGCCTTCGTCGGCGGTCTCACCGTCCGACTCTGGCTCGTCTACGTTGTTGCAGCAGAATCCATCTGCTGCGATCTCGTCGTCAAGATCCACTTCGCCTTTGACGGCATCCCGCCGGTGCTGCAGGCAGAGACCGTCCTGAGACCCGTCCAAGGCGTTACTGATGCCGCAGGTCAGAAACGCGCGCTCAATCAACTCCTTGGGCACCGCCTTCCAGGCCTTGGAGATCCACTTGAGCGTCAGCTCAGGTGGTGGCTTGCGGATGTTGCCTGCCACACGTTAAAGATTCATCAGTTACGGTAGAACAGGGTCAATAATTAAAAAACAGTCCTACCGGTAAATCTTCAATCTCACCTCTTTCAGTCAGGCAGTCAACACCCTCGCTCTCGAACCATTGCTGGTATTGTTGTCGCACAGCTGCTTTGAAGGAGCGGTTCACGGCGACGTCCAACGGCTGCACCTCCGATGTGCAGCCAGCTGGTATGACGGCCGGCACGATACGCAGCTCGCCAAATTTCGCCTTCACTTGATCAGTCAGGTGCCCGCGGTAGGGGTCAAGCACCAACATCGCTCTCCTGCTGCGCACTCCGAACCTCGGGTTGACGTACGGGCCCACCGTACCGTCGAGCCACGCGAGGACGCCTTCCGCGTCCATCCAACCGTTGGGATGTGCAGCGACCACGACATCTGCACATCCGCACAACGTTGAGATTGACATCAGAAAATAAAAACACATTCAAATGCTACCGGGACTGCACAAGCTGCTCGGCTTACCGGAGGGGAAATTCCCCTTTGGAACTGTCTTGCGCTTAAAGAACACCCAGGGCTTGAGCTTCTCGCCGCTGGCGGTGCACGCGAGCATCACCGTCACGCGTTCCTTTTGATAGCCGCCGCTGCGGATGGGCACGGAGCGGACCCCCACCTCCTCGACAGTGCGTTCAGCTGGCATTTCGAGCCAGAGCGGGGTCTGATCAGCATTTATGATCCAGCGGTTGTCGATTCCGTACTGTCGGCGGGTGTGTCGCACGAACTTCCAGAAGTTTCGCACTTGCGTCTCGCACTCTGGAAGGGACGGGGAGGCAGAAACCATAAAAAAACATTAACTATCGACCGGTTGGCAAAGGGGATAAACAAGAGCGAATTCAAAAAGCCCACTCACCGGAGGATAGTTTCTAGCCGCCACGGGTCTTAGCTCGGGTAGTGAGATTCCAGCGGCGCCGAAAACGCTCGGTCCACCTCTGAGATCCCGCCCACTTTACCTCAGGATGCAGGCTCTTCATCACCTCTCGCGACCACTGCTGCAGGCGGCCGACCGACACTGCGAGGCACTTTTTCCGGGCGGCAAGTACTCGTGAGTAGACCTGGATCTCCATGTCGCGATACCACGACGACCGACAACGCCCGTGAAGACGCTTGCGAGCCCCATGCGCGCCCTCCAGCTCACCCTTCCGCGATTTCCATACTGCGAGGGACTTTCGGGAGATACCAGAGTCGCGTGCCATCTTCCGCATACTCACGGCACCGGACTCCAGCTGTGAAATCCAGTGCAGCTTCTCCTGAGAAGTATAGGAGTGCCGCTTGTGCCTTGAGCGCCTGCTCCTGGGAGACGGGGGGCGGGAATCACGATTCTGGGTGCAGGGGTGGGGCCTTTTTTTATTGGGCGGGGGAAAACTTGGGATAGGCAAGTCCTCGGGAAGACCGTCGGCCGCCCACCACTCAACATCGTCTTCGGCACCGGTGGCGGATTCGTCGTGCGGGCAGTCTTCCGGGTCTCCCCAACGTGGCGAAAGACCGGGTCCGGTTTCATCTTCGTCGCTGCGCTCGGGCTCGTGCTCGGGCTCGGAGATGTACGCATCGAAAGCAGAGTAGCCACGAGGGAGAAGCTGCAGAATGGGCACACCGTTGATGACGACGATAGGCGGAGCGGGAGGAGCAGGAGGCGCTGGAGGTGCAGGAGGCGTAGGAGGAGCAGGAGGCGCAGGAGGAGCAGGAGGTATTGGCGCTGGACGACTCTGCCACTGGGAGTAATCGGGAGCTTTGTCAGCAGCACCTCGGCGCTTAAAGAGGAAATGGGTGCCTGGTTGGCCCGCCATAGCTAAGGCAGGCCGATGGGAAACAAGAAATCTGAAAAAAACAGGGAGAATGAAGCATGTTTGAAACCCTTGCCCGAGACCCCTCCAACTTCGCGGCCCAGGTTCCTCTGCAGGCTAAGGGGAGAAACAGTCAAGATCTCCCCGCAGAGGAGCTGATGTGGTGAGGTCCATGCGTACGGGGCAAGGAATCTTGCCCCGTTTGTGGTTTTACTGCGTCGTGGCTAGCACGACAGTCGGCCCTGATTGGGCAGTCGCACACTAAACTGCGTGTGCGTTGGCATGGGCCAGATTCGGTACGATGAATCTGGCCTGGCGAGCAAGGCGTGGCGGGCGTGATTCCGCGCCTTGTTGGCAATTTGACGCGCGTTTCATGCACAAACTCGAACGTTCTAGATGTGGATTGAATCCCCGTTTGAAAAGGCTTCAAATACATGTAAAAAAAACCATTTCAATTTTGCCTTTTTATAGGCGCCGGCGCTTATAAAATTCCTCAATTATAAGCGCACCCCCTAAAAAACAGTGTTTTATTATAAGCACAGGGGCGCTTCTATCCGGGGGCTGACGGTAACATTTCCTTCATCCAACGTCGAATTGTAGCAGGAGCTTCACGCTCTCCACGTCACTTGCGACAGGAAATAACTACTGTACATTTTTTAATCAATACCAGATTTCAAACAAACAAGATTTGCGATTATTTTGGATCGGGGAGAACTACCTACTTTTAGGAAGGCTTCTCTACCAACTAAAGAAGACAACTTCTCTGTTTTTATTGGCGGCAACCTCAGGCAGCAGAAGACGAGCGACACTATGAATATAATGCCTAACTCGACGGATCCTACGGCAGAATTTTTCCAGGATTTCACGTTGCTGGAGGAACGAGTTTGTCAAGACAGTAAGAGAGCCACATTGAGTGCATCTGCGCCTGCTTTTTTCCCTCATTCAGTGGGGGTAGATCCCACCATACCACTCACGCAACTGCCTGGAGGGACTTTACCTGCGATCGGAAACTTTCACTAGGCTGGGTTCGGCAGCAACGTCGTACCACAATCGGAGCTCCAGCAGGAGCTGCTATTTTCCCTATCTCAATCGGAGCATCAGTGACTCCAGTCACAACTCTTCCGCAAGGACGCCAGATCTCTGTGTTAATTGGAGGTGCTCGCCACCGATTTTGAAACAGGCGTCGCCTATTGCAACCCAACCAGAAAGCGTTTGGCAACACAGATGTTGGAGCAAACAAACCACAGTCGAAGATTCAGCAAGAAGGGTGTGCAGATCTGTTTCTACCGGTGCTGAAGTTTGCCAACAGCACAAGGGTTTCTCCTAGCGGGCAAGATGCAATTTTTAGTCGCTTGACTTAAAAACCGCCGTGGAGGCATCCGCGAGGGTACGGTACAATTGTACCTAGGTCCTCTAGCCCGGTTACGACCGTGGATGGTGTTTTTTGCATTGTATAATGTAATTTCACCTCCTTCGAAAAAAAAAAAAAAAAAAAAAAAGAGAGAGAATGTGACAGTGAAGTGTCTAACTGAAGATAGACACCAACCAGAGTAATTCCGCCCTGTTTTTTCTTATCGAGTGATTGTCTAATGCCTTCAATTTTGCTCTTTTTTTACGGTACCTTCTGCACCACTCTGCTTCCCCTCCCCACCATCCTCCTTTTCTTCCTCTCCCTTTTCACCCTTCACCTCCTCCTCTCCTCTGTCACCACCCACCTCCTCCTCCCTTCCTCCACCCCCAACCTCCTCCACTCCCTCATCCTCCCCTCTCTCCCCATCCACGTCCTCCTCCCACGCACCCCCCTCCTCCTCTGCAATCGAATCATTCTCCTCACCATCCCCATCCACTTCCCCTTCCCCATCTCTGCTTCCCTCCTCGTCACTCCCTCCCCCCTCACTCTCTCCTCTCTCGCTTCCCTCCCCTTGGTTCACCTCTCTGCAATCCTCTCCCTCATCCTTACCACCCGCCTTCCTTCCCGCTCTCCTCTTCGCCTTCTGTTTGATACCCCCTCCCCCCACTGCCCCTTCGCCCCCCTCCCCCTTTTCACAGGGCAGTGCACGGCCGAAGCAGTAGGAGTGCCATGCATGCAGGTCGCGGTGGGATGGGATGGGCATGCCGTGACACGTGGCGACTCGTGATTCGTCAACGCCTTCAAGGCTCTGCAACAATGGTGGAGATGATGGGAAGAAGTGGGGTAGAGTGGGAGAGAGTGGTAAGAGGGGGATTGAGTGGGGTAGTGTGGTGTATCACATCCTGTGAGGGGTGAGATTAAGGCTCTGCAAGAATGGTGGGGATGATGGGAAGAAGTGGGGTAGTTTGGTTAATGAGAACCGTATTAATCTCACCCCTCACAGGATGTCCTCGTACCCCCTCCGTTAATCACGAAGGCAATCAGCCACCGGCAAGCACCGCCCCCCACTTGTGCGGCGCCTCACAGTACAGCAGCACCCACATGGAACCATGCCATGCACAGCAGCACCCGCATGGCACCATGCCATGCACAGAAGCACCCACATGGCACCATGCCATGCACAGCAGCACCCACCCACCTGGCGTCATGCACAGCAGCACCCACCTCGAGCGGCAGGGAAACATCTAACTGGCGCAGCAGAAAGGCACCCACATGGCGCAGGTACCCGAATGCACCTTGCACGTACTGCCGCCACTCATGGGACGGCAGCAACAGGGCGGGGACAGGCAGGCACATGCAGCACTCACCTGACGCAGCACAGAAAGTAAACACATAACCCGCACAGCAGAACACCACCCACCTGTCTCAGGTAACCAAAGGCGGCTTGCACGTACTGCCGCCACTCAGGGGAGGGCAGCAGCAGGGCGGGGCAGGCAGGCACCGCAGCCACTCGCGGCAGGTAGCGTGCAGACAGGGCCACTGGGGCACCGCTGCTGCTGCTCGTGCTGTCGCCAGTGCTGCTAGTGGGATTGCCGCCAGGTGGCGGCTTCTCATTGGCTGCTGCGACAACCACCTTGGGCACGCGCTCCCGCTCCCACCTGCACAGGGCGGACCAGAGAAGAGAGGAAGGGATTCGAGAGGAGGCGAGGAAAGAGTTGACTTTTGAGTCGCCTCAAAAGTCGCTCCCGCTCCCACCTGCACAGGGCGGACCAGAGAAGAGAGGAAGGGATTCGAGAGGAGGCGAGGAAAGAGTTGACTTTTGAGTCGCCTCAAAAGTCGCTCCTGCTCCCACCTGCACAGGGCGGACCAGAGAAGAGAGGAAGGGATTCGAGAGGAGGCGAGGAAAGAGTTGACTTTTGAGTCGCCTCAAAAGTCGCTCCCGCTCCCACCTGCACAGGGCGGACCAGAGAAGAGAGGAAGGGATTCGAGAGGAGGCGAGGAAAGAGTTGACTTTTGAGTCGCCTCAAAAGTCGCTCCCGCTCCCACCTGCACAGGGCGGACCAGAGAAGAGAGGAAGGGATTCGAGAGGAGGCGAGGAAAGAGTTGACTTTTGAGTCGCCTCAAAAGTCGCTCCTGCTCCCACCTGCACAGGGCGGACCAGAGAAGAGAGGAAGGGATTCGAGAGGAGGCGAGGAAAGAGTTGACTTTTGAGTCGCCTCAAAAGTCGCTCCCGCTCCCACCTGCACAGGGCGGACCAGAGAAGAGAGGAAGGGATTCGAGAGGAGGCGAGGAAAGAGTTGACTTCTGAGTCGCCTCAAAAGTCGCTCCTGCTCCCACCTGCACAGGGCGGACCAGAGAAGAGAGGAAGGGATTCGAGAGGAGGCGGGGAAAGAGTTGACTTCTGAGTCGCCTCAAAAGTTGCTCCCGCTCCCACCTGCACAGGGCAGACCAGAGAGGCGATGGGAGGCACGAGGAGGCGAGGAAAGGAAACGCGTGAAGTGACGGGATTTGAGGGGATTTAGAGTGACGGGAGTTGAGAAAACAAATGGAGGAACGAGGGAAATTGAGTAGAATTTCCTGTTCTGAGTGATGGCACAAGTTGACTCTCCTACCCTGGACTTGGAAACAGGGATTGTTGAAAACATCCACCTTTGAAGTGCTTGTGCAATACGCTCATGGATTTCCCTCCCTCCTACTAGCACCCCTCACCTAACACGCCGCAAGTACTCGAGCCCGTCAAGGGGGTGTGGAATGGAGAAGTCCGGTTCTCCATACACTGGCAGAGCCCTCGCCTGCACCTCCTCCTCCTCTTCTTCCTCTTCCTCCTCCCACTCCTCCTCCTGCTCTCCCCCCTCCTGCTTGCCCCACTGTCCCCCCCACCGCTCCTCCTGTTGACGCGGTCGGTGTTGTGTTCCGGTCGTTCCACACTCCTTCAGACCATCCCACCTGCCACCAGCCGCAACAGAAGCCAAAGCAGAAGCAGAAGCAGAAGCAGAAACAGAAGCAGAAGTAGCTGCAGCAGCAGCAGAAGCAGTGGAAACAGCAGCAGCATCAGCAGCGGTGATGGCAGCATCAGCCGCAGCAGCAGTGGCATCAGTTGAGATCCTCCCTGCTTCGTCACCCCTCTGCTGTGCCAAATCATCCTTGCCCATCTTACCATCAGCAGAGCTCCCACCACCTGCTGGTGCGGCAGCTGCTGCTGCTGTGGTGGTAAGGGCGGCAGTAGTGGCAGGAATGGCCGCAGCATCATCTGAGGACCTGGCAGGACATGCATCGTCAGTGTTTCCAATAGCGGACGCCTCATCTGTTGCACCAGTCACCATCGTGGCACCACCACCACACCTCTCCCCAATGCTGGTAGCAGAAGTGGCGGCAGCAGCAGCAGCAGCGCCAGAAGCACCGGCGGCAGCACCTGCACCAGAGGCAGCAGCGTCAGAAGCGGCCGCAGCAGCAGCAGCAGCAGCAGCAGCAGCAGCATACCCTCTGGCCTCGGCTGCCCAGCCTACCATGTGCGTCTCAGTCCCGGCTATCGCCTCACTTCCCCCATGCCCACTCGGACTGCCCCAGATCCCACCACCGCCGTTGCTGTTGCTGCTGCTGTTGCTGTTGCTGTTGTTGCTGCTGTTGCCCTCCCCATGCGCATTTCCTCGCCCCCTCCCTCCTCTCCCGCTCTGCTCCTGCCCCCCGGCATTCTTCCGCCCCTTCCGCCGTGACCCCTTCTCCCCTGCCCCTCCCCCTCCCCCGCCCCCTCCCCCTCCCCCTCCCCCTCCGCCTCCCCCGCCCCCTCCCCCTCCCCCCCTCTTGCCACGTCCCTCATGAGCTCTTCCACAGCCAGCTGCGTGCTGCCATTCATGGTGCGCCACGTGTCACGCTGGTACTGGACGGACTGCAGCCCGATCTGCTTGAGCTGCTCGAAGGAGTACACGTGGACAGCTGCTGCACACGTGGCCGACCCTGCTCCTCCTAACCCCCTCCCTCCTCTCTTACCACTGTTTCCTCCTATTCCTCCTCCTCCTCCTCTGCCTCCTCTCCCCTCCACACCGCACTCCTTCCCAACCCCAGCACCCAACGCTGTCGCTACCACCCATCCTTCTCCTTCCTCCTCCCTCCCTTCCCCACACCCACACTCTCCGCTCTGCCCACCCCTCCACTCATCCCCCACTCCTCCCCAGCTACATAGCCAGAGCCCTCCGTCGCCCCCTGCCCCTGCCATGCCCTCCCATCCCTGCCCCAACCACAAGCCCCTGCTCCAACGCCCATGTCTGTGCCCATGCCTCTACCGATGCCCACACCCATGCACGCCTCCCTACCCATCCCAATACCCATCTCCATGCCTGTTCCCATGCCTGCTCCCATGCCTGCTCCCATGCCTACAGCACCAGGCGCATGCATGGGCATGTACATTTCTCCATGCACAGGAGGCATGGGCATGGGTCCCCCTCCTGGCACGACCATTGGACCCCCTCCGTGCATGGGCATGCCAGCAGGCATGGCATGCCATGCCGCATCAGCACCAACCCCAGACCACCCCCCAGGCGCGCACTGCATGGCGCTCACACCAGGGGGAACGGGCAGATGCACAGGCAAAGGCATGGGCACGGGCATGGGCACGGGCATGGGCACAGGCATGGGCAGGGTGAGAGGGGGACCGTAGCCCTTGCCGAGAATGCCCTTCTCTGCGTCTGGAACCCCATGGGGGGAATCAACTACAGCCGCTGCTGCTGCTGCTGCTGCTGCTGATTCTGGTAGTACAGGGCCGGGAGGGGTGCTGGTCGCTGTGCTTGCAGCGAGGGAGGGGAAGGGGGGTGGCTGGAGGGACGCCTGTGAGGGGGCGGGGGTTGGCTGGGGAGAGAGATCCCGAGTGGGGAGGGTTGCAGGCGCGCGGGAGCTTGGGGATGCGGGTAGAGGAGAAGACGAGAGGAGAGGAGAAGACGAGAGGCGAGGAGAAGACGAGAGGCGAGGAGAAGATGAGAGGCGAGGAGAAGACGAGAGGCGAGGAGAAGACGAGAGGCGAGGAGAAGACGAGAGGAGAGGAGAAGAAGAGGGGCGAGGAGGCTGAGGGGTGTGTGGCGGGATGAGTGGCGGGGTGACGGAAGGAGGAGACGCGGCAGGGGGGGGAGCGGCGGTGGCAGGAGGAGGAGAAGCGGCAGCAGCTGCTGGTGAAGGTGGGAGGAGGGAAGACGACTCTGAGGCGGTGGGGACAAGGCAGTCCGCTGCTTGCTCGCACGAGTCTTTTTGTGGCTGTGTGTGTCGCGTGCTCACTTGCAATATGTGTGATTGCTTTGCCTGCTCCTCACGCGCTCCTGGCACCACAGGGGTGGACACTCTGCCGCTGCACACCGTCCAGCACCCTTCCGCAACGCCAGAAATCCCTTCTGTTGCAGCACTCGCTGCGGGAATCGCTGCAGGAGCAGAGGCAACAGCAGGATGCGGAGAAGCATGTGCAGCAGTCTCTGGGAGAGAAAAAGCGGAGGGAGAGCAAGAGGCAGCAAATGCACCTCGACTCGTTTCAATTGGTGACTTTCCTTTCCCACTCGCCTCCTCCCTGTCATCCTGCGTCCCCTCCTGCTCCTTTCCCTCTCCCCCTTCCTCTCCCCCTTCCTGCCCCTCTTCCTGCCCCCCTTCGTGTCCCCCTTCCTGCTCCCCTTCCTGCTCCTCTTGCTGCGCCTTTTCCGGCACTCCTTCCTACTGTCTTTCCCCTCGCTCCTCTCTCTCCCTTTCAATACTCCTCTCCGATTCTTCACTCACTTCTCTTCCCTGCTCCTCTCCTCCTCTGTCCCCCACGTCCTCCCTTTCCTTCTCCCCGCTCCCCGCCTCGCCTGCCATATCCTCCCTACCGCCTCCTTCCTTTCCCACCTCACGCTCCTCCCCCTCTTCCCTCTCCTCCGTCGCCCCACACCCCCCATCCATACACGCAACACCACCAGGTGACTCATGAGTCGGCCCAGAATCCTCCTTCGCCCCACACGCTTCACCTGCCACACACTCTCTTGCTTCACCTGCCACACACTCTCTTGCTTCACCTGCCACACACTCTCTTGCTTCACCTGCCACACACTCTCTTCACCTGCCACACACTCTCTTGCTTCACTTGCCACACACTCTCTTGCTTCACCTGCCACACACTCTCTTGCTTCACCTGCCACACACTCTCTTGCTTCACCTGCCACACACTCTCTTGCTTCACCTGCCACACACTCTCTTGCTTCACCTGCCACACACTCTCTTGCTTCACCGTCACCGCTGCCTGAACCTCCCTCTCCCGCAATCTCCGTCCCTTCCAATGCTCCGTCTACCACCCTCTCATCTCCTCGCCTCTTCCTCTCCTCTTCCACGTCGCCCCCTCCCCTGCCCTCCTCCATCACCTGCCTTTGCTCCGCCACTGCCTCCCTCTCTACTACCCCCTCTTGCAACTCTTCCCCCTCTCCCCCCTCTCCCCCCTCTCCCCCTTCTCCCGCCTCTTCCTCTTTTAACCCTCCTCTCCCATCCTCTACCCCGTTTCCCAAAGTGATTCTTTCAGTATTCGCCTGCTCATGCTTCCTCTCCTCTCTCACTCTCTCCTCTTCCTCCCTCCCCTCCTCCTCCCGCTCATCAATGCACCCACCCCTCTGCTCCTCCTCCCCTTCCCCCTCCCCTTCCCCCTCCCCCTCCCCTTCCCCCACCCCCACAACCTCCTCCCCAGCCATCCACTCCCCTCCATCCTCCTCCCCCTCTTCCCCATACTCTTCCCACCCCTCCGCCTCTTCCCTCGAAGCCCCAGGGGCCGTTCCCCCATCCGCCGACCTGCTCCCTCCCCCTCTTCTCCCCCCTCCCCCCCCTCCACCCGCCTCCCCTTCCGCCTCCCCCACCCCCTCCTCCCCTTCCCCCGTACCCCCTGCTTCCCCCTCCCCGCCCTCCTCCAGACGAAGAACCCCCAGCCCCTCCCCCTCCCCCTCTCCTCTTTTTACCTCCGCCCCCTCTTCCACCCCCGCTCCCTCCCCCGCCCCTCCGCCCGCCTCCCCGCCTTCCCCCGCCATCTCCATCACCACTCCCCTCATCCTACTCCCCCTCTCACCCCTCACCTCCCCCTTTAGAAACACTCCCGTTAGAGACATCCGCCTTTCTATCGCCTTGCGCGCTCCCCTGCCTACGCGCGCCAGCGTCTCCCTCCGCCTCTCGCCCCTGCGGCTGCTGCAGGAGCGCGCCAGCCATCGCTGCACCAGGAGGAGCGGGTTGCCCCGCCTCAGCGCGCGCAGCAGCACTGCCAGCGGTAGCAAGCAGGGACGGCGCAGGGACACGGACGGCGGTAGCAGCAGCATTGAGATCCTGAGCAGAAGAGGGTTCCGTGGCAACAGACGATCCCGCAGCTGCTGCGTCCGCGCCGGCAGTAGGGACAGCTGTCTCGACGGGAGCAGCAGACATTGCTGACGTGGCAGCGGAGTGAGCACTCGCGGAGGGATGGGTCGGAGGCGGTGCAATGGGAACCAGAGGAGTGGCAGCAGCAGCGATGACGGGTTGAGAAGCAACGCTCGATGTAACAGCACCTGCAGCCGCAACCGCTGCAGCAGCAGGAGCAGCAGCAGCAGCAGCTGAAGGGGCCGTGTGTGTGGGTACTGCAGCAGCTGCGATTGAAGGGGTTGTAGCTGCCGGTACTGCAGCAGTCGTCACTGACGGTACTGCTGCAGCAGCAGGGAGGCTCGTCCCGCCGTTGGCCCTCATATTGCCATCTTCTAGCCCATCCGCCGGCGCACCGTTGATCGCTGGCCTCGTTGACCGCTGGCCTCGTTGACGATCCAACGGCGGACAACGCGCCATCAGCCGCGGCATTCCCGAAGCCGTCTGTAGCGGGCCGAGCGAATCGCGGAGCAGATGGATCGCTGGCGGCAGGGTTTGGATTGCGCGGCGGAGCTACCTGCGCGCCGTAGACGGGCGCGATGCTGGCGGGGCCAACCAGCGGAGTGTGTTGGGGTTCTATTTGCGGTTGGATAGGGGTTTGGTGGTTTTGGATAGGGTGCTGGTGCGGTTGGATAGGGGGGTGGCGCGGCGGAGCGACCTGCACGGCGTAGACGGGCGCGATGTTGTCGGGGCCGAGCAGTTCGAGGCGGCACTGGCAGATAAACGAGTTCACCTTAACGAGGTATTTGGGGTCCACCGCGAGCTCCGCTGGCCCCGATGGGGGAATCTGATGGTTCATGGCGTCGCGAAAGGTTCTCGACGGGATTTTAAGAACCTACACGCTACAAAACGGCGTTCAACTTAATGAGGTAGTTCGTTTCCACTGTGAGCTCCGCGAGTCCCGAAATGGGGTTTCAACGGTTTACGGCATCGCAAACGGTTCTTGCAATTTCTCAAACACCACCTGGTACTTCAACTAGGCAATCAGGGTCCACCGCGAACTTTGGTAGGACCGATGGCATGATCAGTCATAGCGGCGCGTGATAATGCCAAATACGTTGGCTGGAGATAGTGGGAATTCACAAGGATTTAGGGGTATTTTGAGGATGCGAGAATGTCGGGGGATGGGTTGATTTGAGTGAGGCAGATCAAGAGCTCGTTTGCCAAAAATCGCTCTGAGGGATATGGTATGTGTGGGTTCGACAATTTTCTGCGTCTGTACTTAAGCGCGTACGCTTTCCAGGGTCCAAACCTTTGATTGTGGCAAAACCCCGTCCAAACTTCGATTGTAGCACAGTGTACTCGCCAGCGTCCGTGTGCAAGGCTGTTCATCCTACCGTATGTTCCTCAGTTATTGCAGCAATGTCATTCACATAAAAATCATGAGAAAGCAAATACAGGAGAATGTTGATATCAGCTAGAAAATTTTGAGGCTGTTGAAAATGTTATTGCTGGAGAGTGTCACTTGCCGCTGTGATGATACCGGTAGTGCCTGTTCTGACAACAGCTACTAATGTTGTGTTGGGTGACAACAGCTAGGCTGGTACTGCTGTGGTATTGTGACAATAGAATTACGAGCTGCTATCACAGTAGTGATGACTCTAGCTGCCATGACAAATGCCACCGTGTTAGATACTGCAGAGAAAATAGGAGAATTGATATTGCTAATGCGATAGCAGCAGTCCATTGTAGCTATGACAACAGCAGCAGCGTCCGGTGCTGGTGATGTTGTATGTCAAATGGTCTAGTGACAATAGTGGTACAATCCCAAGTGGGACTTAGCAAAGGATTGCTCAGGGTTGATCGCAGAGTAGTGTTGCAGCGGAAGTTTGAATCTCAGGTCAGAGTGAATGTAAATGACTGAGTTGATAAAAGCATGCATACATCGAGTTTATATACGGTAAGAATACAGGGGAATGCGAAAAGACCTAGACTAGCCATGTACTCTAAGGGGTACATTCCCTTATTACACCAAATTCAAACCGTGCGGCGCGGGAACCTGTTTTGAACCTGTTCCCGTTCTTTTCATTTCAAATGTTTCCGCTTGCATCGGTCTTGGTCAGGCGGTTGCTGCGTCGCTTCGACTCTTGTGACTTCTCGACTTCGTACTCGGTAGAGTCGGCTCCTGCAGCATACAGGAATGCCTTCTCATAAAACTTCATATCGTAACACTCCCTTTCATTCCTGGACGCGGGTGGAGCTATCTCGCTTGACTACTCCGGTGAGGTCAGAGCAGTGCTTGTACGGCTGACGTGGCAGGCGCTTGGTGAGGAAGTCTGCCGCCATCTCAGTAGTCGCGCAGTAGGCGAGGTCAACTTTTCCTTGGTCAATTTTGTCTTTGACGAAAAAGTACCGAGGCGCGATGTGCTTCGTGCGGTTCACGAATCCTGGTTTGTTCGCGATTCTGATGGCACTCTGGTTGTCGCAGTGAAGGCGAAAGGTAGGCAAGGTTGGAATTTTCGCCTCCTATAGCAGCTCTTGCAGGTACAGGCCTTCGCGAACTGCTGCTGTCGCGGCGATGTATTTTGCTTTGGCCGATGACAGAGCAACCAGCTCCTGCTTCTGCGAGTTCCAGGAGATTGGCCCAGTTGGTTCCAGGCGAAAAACGAAGCCGGTTCGGGACCGTCGATTTGCAGGATCAGCTGCATGGTTTGCGTCCACCTAGCCGTTGAGGTTGAAGGAGGTCGTCGTCAGCGTGGAGTTGGAGAGCCCAATGTCAGGTGTGGAGATGAAGTACTGCAGGGCGCGTTCCAGGTCCAGCTAATTCTTAGCTACTGGCTTGCGAGAATACTGCGCCAGTTGGCTAGCGATGTACGAAAGGTCGAGTCGGCAGGTGACAGAGGCGAACAACAGACAACCCAGTTGCTGTTGGTACAGTTGGAGTCCTGCGGGTGACAGTGGTTTGTTGTCCGGTTTGTAGTTGGTGCTGGGGCTGCGGTAAGGAGTTGAGAGTGGTGCGGGAGAGATATTGAAGCGTTCCCCCAGCTGCTCTGCGTACTTGGGGGCTGACAGGTAAATTGCTTCTGGCGCATAAGTGATGTTTAACCCCAAAAACTGCTTCACTTCGAGGTTGATGGTGATATCCACGCGCTGCGCCAGGCTCTCCTGAAACTGATCAAGGAGTTTGTTGCAGGTGCCCGTGTACAGTAGGTCGTCGACGTAGACTGTCAGGAGGATGTAGTCGCCACTGAAGTGAAGGTGATACATTCACGGGTCGTGTGGGAGCTGCTTGAAGCCGATTTCGAGGAGGATTTTGTGCAGGTGTTGCTGCCATAGGCGAGGCGCCTGCTTGATCCCGTAGAGGGACTTCTTCAGCTGGCAGACCCTGGGATCACCTTCTCCGTAGTTGTGTGGCTGTTCCACAAAGATGGTGGCGTCCACCAACGTGTACAAATATGCGTTCTTCACGTCGATGTGTCGCACTGGTAGGTGCTTAGCGGCGGCAATACCGAGTAGAATCTGGACTGAGGTGTGGCGACTGGCGGGAGCGAAGGTCTGGTCAAAGTCGATGCCGTGGCGCTGATCGTACCCGCGTACGACCCAGCGTGCCTTGAAGCACTCGATAGTGCCGTCAGCGTTAGTTTTCAACGAAAAACTCACTTTCCGCTGAGTACCCTCCTCCCCTTCACTGCTGCACGATCGACTAGGACCCAGGTGTCACGAGATTCCAGTGCCTTTAGCTCCGCATCCATCGCAGCACGCCACTCCTTGGCGTGAGGGCCGGTTAGGGCCTGGCAAGGATTCTTTGGCTCCACGGCTCGTGCAAGAGTAGAGACGGATGTGTGCAGGCCGAGAAGTTGAAGGCCTGACACATTGGTGGTGTTCACAGTGGTGGGGACTTCCACCACGTCATCATCTCCGCTTTCGTAGCCGGGTACCGCGGTGCTTGGCTCTGCTTGGCGCCGTGGTGGTCCTGGCGTGGGATCGTCATCACTGTCAACGTCGTCGCGCGGGCGAGGCGGGATGCTGGGATGTTCGTCGGTGTCATCGTGGTCCAGTACTGCTGCTGCTGCTGCTGCATCTTCAGGGGTCGCAAAACTACGGCCGCTGTTGACATAGCCGCGTTGCCTGGTTTCAGCGTTCGTCCTCAATCCACTGCTTCAAGGTGAGTCGCTCGTAGAAGAGAATGTCACGCGTCGGAACGATCTCGTTACTGTCAATGTCAAAGATGAGCAAGCCTTTGTGCTCGTGGCTAAGCCCCAGATGAACTCCTCAGCGCGCACGATGAACGAACTTGCCGATTGTTGCCGAGGTCGGCTGATATTGCACCATGCACCCCCAAAACCTCAGCATAGAGGGATCTCCCCTTGAGCCGGTCCACTTCATGTGAGGGGACAGGTTGTCCCTGTTGGCGGTGGTGGAGAGGAGGTTGTGCAGGCGCACAGCGTGGTTCATGGCGTAGGGCCAAAACTTCTTTGGCAGGCCGGACGGGTTCATGATGGCGCGGACTTTAGTCATGAGGGTGCAATTGACCCTCTCAGCGACGCCTTGCTGCTGGTGAGCGTAGGGGAGAGAAATCTCATGCTTGATCCCCTTCTCGGTGAGGACACTCTCCAGCTCATTGCTGCGAAATTCCTTTGCCCCATCACACTGCCACATCTTCAGTTTCCTCCCTGACTGTCGTTGTGCGTGCGCGAGGAAGATGTGGAACACCTCCGGAGCCTTGGAGCGGGCGTCGACGTTGGCGATCCACACGTGGCGTGAGTAGGCGTCGATGAAGGTGAGAGTATACTTCTCGCCGTTGATGCCGTCGCAGGTGAGCACGATGAAATCGCTGTACACTTTTTCCAACTTTTTGTAGCGATTGTTGCTCGGCTCCAGAGAGGGGTAGGTGGTGTGGGAGAGTGCAGCTGTGGGACAGACAGTGCAGGTGGTCGGATGTGGGGTCTTGTTCTGTAATTCCGTTCCGTCGGGGCGCAGCAGT